AATTTCCCCTAAACATCTTACTTCTCCTGGAATGTTTTTTAATTCCTATCTGACAACATTGAAACATCCAACCACTGAATTTCCCTCAACTTTACCTATGCAAACTCACATGCAAGCTTCTGTTTACTATGGGTCAAAGTACACATTTTCTTGGGACTCTTTGATCAGATTCCGGGATGGGTAGCTTGAACGGGAGGTTGGGTTGCCAGGTCCCCCTGGCCACCAGCAGGGGATGGGGGGGGGGTAGGGTTGCCAGCTCCTGTTTGGGAAACTCCTGGAGATTTGGGGGTGGAGCCTGGGGAGGACGGGGACTTCAGTGGGGTACAAGGCCGGAGAGTCCACCCTCCAACGCATCTGTTTTCTCCAGGGGAACTGATCTCTGTAGTCTGAAGATGTTTCATTCTGGGGGATCCCTCCAGGTCCCCCAGGTCCCTGGAGGCTGGCCTCCTTAATGGGTGGTAAAGTGGTTGGAATTTTGAACAAGAATCTTGGGAGGCCTGGGCTTAAATTCTTATTGTGGCATGGAATTTCCTGGGTGGTGTTGGGCCAGTCACTCTCTCAGGCTAACGTACGTCTCAAGGCTGTTGTGAGGATAACAAGAGGAAAGGAGACCCGTGTTTGCTGCCCTCAGCAGGAGAGGGGGGGGCAGGAGAAAAGTGTGCTAGATAGATAGCCTTAAAAAGAAGCCACAAGTGAGAGGGCAACATGGATTAGGGCCCCGGTGCTGAGGAAAGGGACGATTCAACTCTTTTCCTTCATACTGTTTTCCCCGGTTGGTCTTAGCTTGGGTGGGGGTAGAGAACAATGGGTAAAAAGAAGGCATTTTGTCTTTTTCCCTAATGTAAAAGGATATAGCAGCAATGGCGGCAGGAGCGGGGGGGGGGTAAGAGTTAACCACCTCTGTGGCCATGATCCATATCCCCGTCCCGAACGGCTATGTTAAAAGGCTAATGGACATCACAGAATCCAGCCACAGATCCCCAGTGTAAAGTGTAGTTTGGATCTGACAAGGAAAAAGTATTATTTTCCCCCTGCTTTCTCTCTGCTGAAAGGCAGTATGTTCAGTCCTACTCCAAGTGAGAGGCTGGGTTAATGATAGTTTTCCTGGAGCCCATCCTCTGTTCTGCCGGGACCCTGAGACTGTAATCGCAAGGGTTTCTCTCCAAATTGCACTGACAAGCCCAAAGAATCTTAACTCCTAAGCTTGCACCTGTATCAGGGGTCATTTAGTAGAAAAAGAGCTAGGGGAACTCATTAGCATAACTCATTAGCATATGCCACACCCCCTGACATCACCGGAAGTGTGTCATAAGGCCACACACCCTGCCCCCAACGGTCCCAGCCGCCGCCGCCGGCCTTGCAGCTCCACTGCCGAGCCCCATGAGGGGCCCGACGGTGGACCTGCAAGGCCGGCGGGAGTGCAAGGAAGCCCCGTGAAGGCCCTCCCTGGCCCCAGGCAGGCAGGGGTGGGGAGAGGCAGGGAGGAAGCAACTTACCCTCCCTCTTCTCCTGCCTCCTCCTGGCTGAATGAGGGCCGGAAGTGGGGTGGCCGGAAGCAGGGGGCGGGGCTTCGTCATGTGCCCCGCCCCCCATACCTCACCCGGGGGAACTGCGATCCCCCGTGATCCCCCCCGAAATGACCCCTGACCTATATCCTGATAAACCTTTCCAAAACTTCATTATTATAAAAAAACCCTCCCTGTTTCGACCCCTGCCCATTTTCTCTTCATTTGTCTGACCTACATTTCCAATAGGTGAGCTGCCTCGAGTTCTCAGAGAAAGGTGGGGTACACATGCTTTAAATACATAAAACGTACATACTTTACACTGGTGGTTTAAAAAGAACTGGGCAAAATCCTGCACATAATGGAAGGGGAGGGACTGTGGTTCAGTGGCAGAAGGCCCCAGGTTCAATTCCAGACATATCAGGTGGGAATGATCAAATACAAGGTAGAGACCCTGGAAAAAGATGAAGATGGGGGGCCATATTAGTCTGTCTGTAGAAAAGAGTCCAGTAGCACCTTAAAGACTAACAAAATTTGTGGTAGGGTAGGAGCTTTCCTGAGTCACTGCTCACTCCTTCACGAAAGCTCCTACCCTACCACAAATTTTATTAGTCTTTAAGGTGCTACTGGACTCTTTCCAACTACCCTGGAAAGGCCCTACCAGTCAGAACAGACAGCACAGACAGACTTTGACTGACAAATGGCCTAAATATAAATAAAGCAGCTTCATGAGTGTTCAAAGTGTATTCTGCTTCTGAAACATCTTAAAACCCTTTCTTTCCTGTTTTTTCAGTTCCCTTCACTCTGGCAGTATAAGAAAAACAGTCGTTAGGGGGCTGCCTTGAACTCAAAGACCAAGACTTTGCAGACACAACAGCCTCCTACACTGTCTTGAAAACGTCTGCTGTTTTCCTTCGCTCCCACCTTCTCTCGTCCAATATTACAGTGCTAACTGATCCCGCAGAACCCATGAACTCTCTGACCATTTTCTATCCAACACTTCTTTTAACTGACTCCCGACATTGCAGAAGGGGTTGGGGGGCTCCTAGTGCTGACATTTTACTCTGCACCAGTTGCCCCAGACAATAGAAGGCTTCATTCTCTCAGGCTGGCTAGACGTTCTTTTCCCTACCCCACTGCTTTCAGCATCCACCACATCATACCTTTCTTTTCCTTTTTCCCCAAGCAGCCAAACTCCTGCCATCACTACTCTCAGTTCCTGCCAAGTCACTGTTGGGCATTGTGCCTATTCGTAAAAACTCTGGTGGTGAGTGACCCAGTTAGCAATAAAGTCAGTAAACTACTGGTACAGGTTTTCACAGAGCTTTTTCATGAGGGATACCCCAGGGTGACCACCAGTTCTAGAGGGATTCCCTGTCCCTGATTTTTACTGTCACTCTTGCATATATACCCACAAAGTGTTCCAAGTGATCCCAGCAGGATGTACCTCCTGAATGTTAGAAAAGCTGCGTGGATGTCTTCCACATGGGACAATTCCCCATTTTACTCCTATTGCTGCACAAGATTCCCTCCCCCCATTCTCTCCTCTGTCTCTGGCAGTCTTTTTTCCATTTTAAAAACCCACAGTAGGTATATTATTGCGGTTTTTTTAAAATGGCAACTTACTTCTGGGAGTGGTAGGTGCGAGAGGAATGGGTTAAGAAATGGTGTCACATGTGAAAGTGTGGGAACTCAGCACCTGCCTGTCTACACAGATCTTCCTGGAAAGTGACAGTCTTCTTGAGATGGTTGTACCAAAACAGGTTTTCGAAACAACATTGAAAAGCTGGGGGAAACCCAGACGGTGAAGGAGTACAGGGCTATTTTTGGGCAGGAACGCACAGGAACGGAGTTCCGGCTGGCTCCCAAGTTGGCCACACCCAGCAGGAACTCATTAGCATAATAGGCCACACCCAACAGCAGAAACTCATTAGGATTGGCTACATTAGGGGTGTGTGGCCTAACATGCAAAGGAGTTCCTGCTACAAAAAAACCCCTGGGTTTTGACAACAAACAAGGTAAACAGAATAACAAGCAAAAGGTGGGTGTGGCTGGATAACCACACTTCTGGTAACATGGGGGTGCATCCTAATGTGCTAATGAGGTGTGCTGGCAGGGGCGTGTCCTAATATGCTAATGAGTTTCTGGTGTTGGGTGTGGCCTGTTATGCTAATGAGTTCCTGCTGGGCTTTTTCTACAAAAAGAGCCCTGACTGCATACAGCCTCTAAGTGAAGTCTGTTCTCACAGGATGTAGCCCTCATGAGTCTTAGCTAAAGAAAGAGCTTTCCCCCAGTACTGTCTACCTGATGCGCTTTAATGAGAGTCACCAAGGACTGCACGTGGGAAGTTCTGCATGCAAAAGTTGTGTTTTATCACAGCCGCTGCAAAAATGCTATAGGAGAACAACACGTCCGTAGTGCTCTGTGTGTCTGACCAGGCCCAGAGGAATGTGTTTCTGTACAGGATTAGCCCACCCAGGCCACTCCAGGGATGAGAGGGAATCCTGTACTTTTCATTACATTAAACAACAAACCACAAGATGGTCTATACTCTCTCTGGTTTCCAGATAATTTGCCACCAGAACCTCTTTTCACTTATCCCTGCTTTTTCTAAGGGAAGAGATTCCAAACCCTTAGTTGGCATCTGGGACAGAACACATTAGCAACTCAATCCAGAAATGCACACTCTTACCAAGGTAGCATATGTGGTCAGGGTTAGGCACAAGACTTCGACTTGGAATTCAGTTACAACACCAGAGGCAATTAGAAATAAGAAGGATCTTCATTCAGTACAGAGCTTCGCATAGACTACCAGAGATTACAAAAAATAACAAAGGCTAGGGCTGTTTGCCTTAACTAAACATTAATGATTCATAGTTACCAAGTCAGGAGTATCTGTCCAAAATAGTCCAAGTATATACCAAGGGATTTTAAGGAGAAATTCCATCATTGCACAACCATGTACTCCAGTTCACAAAGCAACTCTTTGTCTCTCAAGAGGCAGCATTTCAGGTGCAATAAAACAGACAATGACAAGAGGAGGAAGGGAGAGCAAAAAGCAAGAGCTCACTCCCATAGGGATCAATCAATTATACTCCAATTCCAGTCACAAATTAGCTGTGGCCATCAGCCAATTGCGAGTGGGCATGGGCGTGCCCAAGTGTTGGTTGCCATGGTTGCTAACATCAGGTTTGTGGGATAGGCTGGAAGTTTGGAGACCCTGCCTGCAGTCATCTGACCCAAACTCCAGCTACTTCATTGTGTACGTGACTGGTCGCAAGTGGGCCAGAGTGTGGAGCCATGAGGTCTAGCTTCTAGCATGGAAGTGTGAAGAATGTGGGTTATAAAGTTGTTCAGGCCACCTGGCCCACCATTTGGCTTGCAACAGGAAATAAGGCACAGCCTGTTATCAGAAAGACATCACAGGAGAAGGCAGGAGACTTTTAGAAATCAATATTTCTATACAGATTCTGATTCTTGTTCTGTCTCTTGTAGGCGCCTCTTCAGCCTAGAAAAATGCTTATTAGAGTCAACACTTGCCACATTCTCATTGTCTCAGCACTGCTCCTGCTCTTCATGTTCTCATCTTGGAGAAGACATGAGTGGCACCAGGGGGTCTGTGCTCCCAACAAGACCCACGTGCTGATTCTCTCTACCTGGCGCTCTGGATCCACTTTTGCAGGCCAGCTTTTCAACCAGAATCCAGACGTCTTTTATTTGATGGAGCCAGCCAAGCACGTGTGGAATCGCATGCCTTGGGGCAGCCCAGAGCTTCTCCAGGGGCCAATGAGGGACTTGTTGCACTCCGTATTTCTGTGCGACATGACAGCCCTCTTGTCTTACATACAGCATCCAAGCAAGGTGTTCCATCTCTTCATGTGGCCCATGAGCCGGGCCTTGTGCTCACCTCCAGCCTGCGAAGCCTTCAGTCGCTCAGACATCATAGATACGGAGGCCTGTAAAGCCCATTGTGGTCACACATCTACAGAGAAGATTTCAGAGGCCTGCACCACTTACAGCCATGTTGTGGTCAAGACAGTACGTTTTTTCCAGCTGGAAGCACTTTATCCACTCCTGACAGATCCTTCCCTCAATCTCCGCATTATACACTTGGTCAGGGACCCTCGCGCTGTGTATGCTTCCCGTCGGACCATCTCCCTTTTCCCCGACGATCTGCTCATCAGCAATGCCATCAATGCCACTCCCAGCACCCCTGTGGTCATGCGCAAGGTCTGCCACAGCCAGGTCCAGATGTACCTCACAGCCTTGTACCAAATGCCTCCAGCTCTGAGTAGGAAGTATCTCCTGACACGGTATGAAGACTTAGTGAGGAACCCCCTCGGGCAGTTGGCAGAGTGGTACCGTTTCACTGGCTTGACCTCCTCCCGTAGGCTTGAGGCGTGGGTGTACAACATCACTCACTGGTCTACCAGGAACACTGACCGATCCGGTTTCGATCCCTTGGGGATACAGAAAAATGCCAATGCGGTATCCCAGGCCTGGAGGAAGCACCTCGACTTTCAGGAAGTGAAAGAAGTGCAAAGCATCTGCCAACTAGCCATGGAAGTCTTTGGTTATAGACAGGTGGAGTCAGAGGAGGAGCAGAGAGATTTGACATTGGGTCTTGTCCTTCCCAGAAAGAGAGATTAAGTCCCAGGCAAGGGAAGTGTAAAAATCACATGAAGGAGAGTGAGGAGGGCGAACAAGCCCTGTGCTAAGGTTGCCAACTCCAGGCTGGGAAATTCCTGGATATTTGGGGAGGAACCTGGGGAGGGCAGGGTTTTCGGAGGGGACCTCAGCAGAGTATAATGCCATAGAGTCCACCCTCCAGTATAGCCATTTTCTCCAGAGCATCTGCTCTCTGTAGTCTGGAAATAGTTGTAATTCCAGGAGATATCTAGACCATACTTGTCCACCCCTGCTGCCCTCCTTACAGAGGTTTTGTGCTGTATGAAAGGGTGGATGTTGGCTGTCAATGTTCTGGTTTTGTTTGGACCGTCTCTAGAAGACCAACCTCATCCATGTCCCTTTCCTATTTGAATAAAGAAATGTCCCTGGATTTCTAAGGAATATACACATCTATGGCCCCGGTCACACGGCAAAGTTGCTGCGGGAGAGGCACGGATGGTGGGCGGATTATCCGGGCGTGATCACACCCCAGCATCTGGGAAGTGGAGCGCACCCGTGGCTTACCGTCAACAATGTGCATTTAAAAAGTAGTACCTCCAAAGTACTAGTAAACGTTTGCCACGGGCTGCCTCCAGACTCCCGTGGTGTGATCACGCCGGCGCGCGGGATTCCCCTCCGGTCCCTCATTTATCCGCCGGCGCTGAGGGAAGGACCCGTGGTGTGCCGCCGGCACGTCTGATCGCGTAAACGCGGATCAAACTGCGCCGGAGCAATTAGCCACGCCTCCCCCCCCCGCGCGCGCGATATCCAGCCCGTGTGACCGGGGCCTATGTATACTTCTTATACCATCTGCAGGATCAATCCACAAATACAGGATTAAAAATGTACTTTTCAAAGCTGGTTTCTAGCTCTCACTTTCAAAACACATTAAATGTCTGTTGGAAATGCAGTCTGGAGTTCTTGATTTGCGCACACACACCCTCCAATTCAACAGTTTTAAATCTGGCACTTAAAAAAAAAATTGTCCACCTTGTGGTCAATGTTCCCTCTAGGTTGAGGAGTCTTGTGAGCAAAAATTCTACTTTGTGAGCTCCTGGCATTAAAGTTGTGAGCGAGTGATTTGGCTGCTGCATAAATTAGTTTGCTCTGGAGCCATCCTTCCTTAGCAAAGACAAAAATGTGTGAGCCGGAGGCTAAAAAACTGTGAACTAGTTCACACTAACTCAGTTTAGAGGGAACCCTGCTTGTGGTCCCCCCTCTCTGCCACTACTCCACTATGCAGTTTTCTAAATCTGCTTTGGTATGAATTTTCCTGAAAGACTGTAGTCAAAGTGAATTTGGAGAGCGTCTAGGCTAATCCTGCATTGAGTAGGGGGTTGGACTAGATGGCCTGTATGGCTCCTTCCAACTCTGTGATTCTATGAGTGATGAAGACAGAGCAATGTCAGCTTTTCTGGGACTGGTTTGTTTTCATTCTTTTATCCCATAAGACCTGTCTGACAATTCTGATTTGGTCAACTTCTGTCCAAGTGTAGCAGGCTGCAGGATTCAAAAGCAAAGGAGCTTCCACTGGGAATTAATCCTCCAAAGTATACTTCGGTCTGCAGAGCACAGGGTAAACATCCTGTTCCTTGGTTTTGCAACTGTCCCCGTTTTGATATGACTCATGCAAAAGAATCTTCTGGAAACCAAATAAATGATGTCCTGCTGTCTAGAAGATATTTGGGGCCAGGTGGTGTACAAAACATGCAATTCTTTGAATTTTTCCTATTTTTTACTTTACCAGTGTCATGTACCACATTCTGATTTCTTTCACAATACATTCAGTTTTAATTGTTTATTGTGATGCTGTGCCTGGGATTATTCAGACTACCTGCTAAGCTCTGCTTGGTCATGTTAGCAGGCTTAAACTCAGATAGTATAGGGATTCTTTTTTCTTTTTCTAATTAGGCACATTCAAGGCATCTCCAAAACTATTAATGGCCATCTGAAGTGGTGCCACCTCTAATGATGTTTTTAGAGGTTTTAGCGGTCTGGGGAGTCAATGCTATCCTTGTAATGGATTTTGGGGGAGACAGAGAGGAAGAACTGCATCACTACCAGAAGGTGCTGCTTTGCTTGTGTCGGGAGGAGGGAGAGTGTCCAGGTAGTATTCCAGGATCAGCCAGTGAGGCCAGGTAAGGTGCTGCTGAGGGACAGTAGCAACATTCACGTTCTAATCAAGCATCTTTATGTGTGTTCTTCTGAACCTAGTGGGTTTTTTCCCCATGGGTCAGATAGCCCTGGGGAGGGGGTTGGTGGATTTGCATCAGCAGAATGGTTTGGGAAGAAAAGTGTTAACTCCTTTTCCTCACATGGTGTCCCCAATCCAATCCCCCCCCCACACACACTTTTATCCTTTTATAAAAAGGCAGGAGATCCTAATCAGGGGTCTCCCAGGTCACATCTCCTGTGGGTACCATTAAAGGATACCTTTTCTTCTTTGGAAAGAAGCCAAAGTTCCTTTTCCAGCACAGATGGCCCATTTGGCTAGCTGCTGAATCCGAGAAAGTTCAAAGACGTTGTAACCAGGCCCGCCCCATTGGGAGACGTTAACAGGATCACCCTGACCAGACCCCAGACCAGAAGGAGCCACAGCACAATCTGGAAGCCGGTATGTTTGAAGACAAATGCAGGGAGGAACATGGTAAGACTCCCAAGTGATTAAGTGTAGCTAAGGAGAGTTTCATTATTTGGCAGGAACCACAATAACCAAGCCTTTTCATATGGACAAGTTGTGACTTTGTATAACGATTACTCTTGACAGCACTATGCAGTAGGATCCTTGCATAGTATATAAGTCTGACTGTTCCAGTTATGTATCTCACTTTAATACTTTAATTAAGTGGTAATACTCAGACTACTCTGGCCCAGGCTAGCCCGATCTCGTCTGATTTCAGAAGCTAAGCAGGGCTGGTCCTGGTTAGTACTTGGATGGGAGACCGCCAAAAAAGTTCCAGTTCACTACCCAGAGGCATGCAATGGCAGGCTACCGCTGTTTGCCTCTCGCCATAAGCTGGCTGCAACTTGGTGGCACCTCCCATCAGTACTCAGACTATGGTTTGGACCCCAAAGCAGGTTATGGTGTATTGCTGGGACAGAACGAAGGAGGTAGAATAGGGAGAGCTGGATGGGGGAGACTTTGGAGAGCTTGATGAGTCTGGGTTTGCTCTGCAGAATGCGTGAAACGGCCATGAAATGCAGCCTGTTGCTCAACAATGCTATATATTCATAAAAACTGAAAAAAATTAAAACTTAAAATTTGTTCAGTGTTAACCTGACATGACTTTCTTGCGTTTTACATTGCATGGAGTTTGTTTCTGGACGGTGAGAGACCTTACTTCTTTACACAGAGAGTGATTAAAATGTGGAATTCGCTGCCATGTCGTTATGGCCTGAGGAACAAACAGCTTTAAAAGGGGATAAGGTAGATTCATGGAGGATAAGTCTATCAATGGCTACTAGTCATGGTGACTGAGGAGAACCTCTACATTCAGAGGTACTAAGCCTCTGAATCCTAGAGCCAGGAGGCAACATCAGAGGAACATCTGGGCCTCTGGGCCCTGTTGCTGGCCCTCCAGAGGACCTGGCTGGCTACTGTGTGAGACAAGGTGCTGGGTTTGCAGTAGTTAGGCTGGTGTCCATCCATCAGGCTTCTCAGCATCACTACATCCTAAGTGTGCACTATGTTATGTATTCAACTACATACTGCAGAGCTTGAGTCAAGAGCTCTATCTTGCCCCAGTATCCAGAAGTGTACAATCTGATTGGGCGCTCCGAACAACTTACCAATCAGAGTATCAGATAAGGTTCTGGAGGGAAACCTATTCATTGGCTGTTATCTACGCCTAATGATTGGTTGTTATCTGACAGATGGGCGTGGTTACCCAAGCCCGGACAGTTTAAAAGTGAGCCTGTTGCTCCATTGTTTGTGCTCGTTCTTTACCTATCTAATAAAGCTGAATCACTGTTTTGGAAAAAGCTGCGTTGAGTCTCGTACATAACACATCATTTCTTTGTTTTTATTCTGCCTTCCTTCTACCTTACATCATGGGGGTGCTAGGAGACCTAATGATCCTGGCACTGACTGGACCCAGGCCTGTTAAGCTTCAGTGATGGTGTTGATAATAAGTCTTTCAACTGTACTCTAGTGTCCATTCATACCATACCCAAGAAGACCTGAATCACACTGCCCTCCCCCCACCTGGCTGTGGATGTGGATCCATAACATCACATACTGGGCCCAGACTTTTCCCAGTCTGCTCCCTCCCTTTCAGTGCAAAAAGATGTCTGTTGGATTTCCCAGGTCTGGAGACATCAGCTTGACCTTGAAAGAAAGAGGCCCATATATCCACCATGGAAGCATCTGCATGAAAGATTGTTGAATCGGAGAAGGAGCAGAGGGTGTAATCAGGGTATCCCCAATGTTTTTGAGCCTGCCAGCACCTTTGGAATTGTCACGCGGGCTGATGGCTGCAACAGCAAAACGGCTCCTGCAGGAGGCTAAGCCAGCCACAGAATGTAAAGGAGTGCGATCATGCACAACTCTAATAGTAACTCTTCAACATTTCAGGCAGAAACTCTGTTAAGCAGGATTTTTTTAAAAAAAAATAATAATTAACAAATAGTTTAAAAGTATTTTCTTGTTTACACACAGCTTACCTTCAGTCATGCAGTGAAGATCCTTACGGTGCGGTAGCATCTGCTGCGGAAGCAATTTTTTTTAGAAGTCTGCACAGTCAATCAGATCGCCAGTATCCAATCAAAAGCCCAACCTGTCCCTGTCCACTTTCTGAAAAACACTTGCGGTGTGCCAGGAAAGGTGTCGTTGAGCACCATGTTGGGGACCCTTGGTGTAATGGCTAGTGGCAGACTGGACAGACCTGGATTCAAATCCCTGCAACTGCAGTAAACGCTTACTGAACTAATCACACACTCTCAGCCTAACTACTTCACAGGGTGGCCCTGAGCTCCTTGGAGGAAACGGAGTATAAAAATGTTGATAGAGAGATCTTATCACAATGGACCCACTAGGAAACAGCAGACCTGCCTGTGAATTCAGCCTAATATGTGGGTGATGACCTGAGTTTTTGTTGGTCAAAAGCCTATTTTGCTCAGCTTCAACACATACAGGAAGCCTGAGCTCCTGAGAACTTTATATCATGGGCACTTTCCCTGTTTGTTTGAAT